CGCCCCCCAGCCTCCAGGGAGGCAGCAAAGGCCAGTGGAGAGTGGAAACACTCACATTGATGGCGGCAATCAGCACCATATTGGACAGGTAGAGCCGCAACCACAGCTCCTGCACAGCCTTCCAGTACTCAGCATAGTGCGCTGGGTTCCTCCCACACATTTCCCTCAGGTCCAGGCCAGCTGAGAAGACCCCGGGGCTGTCCTGGGTGAGTGAGGGAGCAAGGGTCCATTCAGAGTCCACCTTCCAGGGCAATGTGCTCCCAGAGCAGGGGGAGCCCACGGGTGTTCAAGGGGCAGCAAAGCTGAGGTCTTGCTCAGGGTGAGGCAGGACACTGCCCCAAGGAGCCCAAAGCTGGGGCTCGAGGACTCAGCCTCCACCTCCCTCAGACTCAGTTCCTTCTCTGTCCTGGGAAGTTCTTCCCTTTCCAAATTCAAACTGGAAAAGGCAGAACAGGCAGGCAGGGTCAGGCATTCCCCCAGGCTCTGTGCAAACCTATGTGGTATCCCAGGCAGAAAACTTAAGAGGCATGGGGAGGACTTCTGACAGTCTGTTGGGGGCCCATGTTGATGTACTCCCAAAGGTCTAGCAAGCTGCCGACTGCTGCAGACTGGAAGATGCTGCTGTCTGGTCAGGAAAGGGGCAGTGACCAGTCAAGAAGCTAGACCTCTGCCCTGGGCTGTCACATGTAAGACAGAAGCCTGGGAATGACTCTGAAGACATATGTCCTGTATGGATGCCCCAGGTCCTGAAGCAGCTGCCAAGGGAGGGAGGGAGAGCAAACACACAGGAGGAGCGATAGACGGAAATAAAGGGCTGCCAGCACAATGGGCACCAAGTTCTGTGTGTTCAAAGGATTGTTGGCCAAGAACACAGACAGGGAGGGATGGCTCAGCAGCCTTCACCTGGAAACACCCACCCCTGGGGCTCCCATGTGGGCAAAGGAGATGCTCCCACACTCCCATGGCTGGGGGATGGGGTGCTTGAGGCTGGTGCCGACTAGAACTGACTGTGGGTACCACACCGCTTATGAGAATGACAACCACCCATGGTCTGTGAAGAGCAGGCAGATAAAATATGGGACAGTCATACTCAATGGCTTGTATGTGCAAAATACTTGGGAGGCTGACCTCTTGTTTCCACGGACTGTGTCCTACTCCTGTAACTTAAAAAGACTCAACAGAGAAAGATGTGAAGTCATTGGGCCAGACATAGGGACCTGGAAGCCAGGCAGCCCTGGGTTGGGAAAGGGATGGCAGCAGGGACAGAGCTGCTCTTGCTTAAAGGACATGGCAAGAGTACATTTAGCTTCTGCCTTTTTCCTCATCCTTTTCCCACCAAAATCCCCTGGCCCCCTCCCCCCACAAAATCCAATACATTTTATCAGCACAGATTAGGGCAGGATAACAGCATTTGCCCATATTCAGGAAATCAAAGGCAAAGCGTTATATTTCGGATGTGAGAATAAACCACATGATCCTAACTGGGATGGTCTCTGTTAGATAAACTAGAAGGGGTGTGGGACGGCCTGTTTCTGTGATTTAGCAGCACAGTGGCAGTGGGCCAAATTGCATCCCTGAAAAGGACAAGGTGAGCTCCTCACCCCTAGATCTGTGAACATGACCTCATTCAGAAATAGGGTCTTTGCAGATGTGATCAAGATGAGGTCATACTGCAGTGAGGGGAGGAGGGGGTGTCTAAATCCTGTGACTGGTACCCTTCTAAGGAGAGCAGAGACACAAGGCAGACATTTGTGAAGATGGAGGAGGCTGGTGGTGGAGACAAGGAGAGAACACCAGGAGCCCCCAGAGCTGGATGAGGCCAAGGAGGATTCTCTCCTAGGGCTTGTAGGAGTCAGCCCTGCCGATGCCTTCATTTTGACCTTGTGGCCCCCAGAACTGTGAGGGTACATTTCTGTTATTTTAAACCAGCCCATTTGTGTGCTTTGTGATGGTGGTCATATGACACTAGTGACATCATTCCACACTCATCTGCTGAGGAACTACTGTGCAGGCCTGTGCTACTACATGCACAGTAGGCACTCAATACAGAGATACATTTGGGGGGCGATCACGCTGTAGTGGGGAGAAAATGGGCCGCGGAGGAACAAACCCTGGCTCTCTCCTTCAGGGCCGTGCGACTTTGAGGCCTGGAGACAGCAGGGACCTTCACTGTGTAGCACCCAGTGTCCACAAGCACAGAGGCTGGGGCCTGGGGAAGCGATGGTTCCCCACTTTCTTTCTGAAGGTCCTATATTTGGTGACACACAGTTCCCTCACTTTAGAGCACAATAAAGAAAATGTCATGCTAGGATATATCTTAAATGGAGTATTTTCAGAAATTACCCAGGGTGAAAAGTTCCCAGGCAATTTTAGCATCTCCAGAAAGTTCTGCTGCGATTGTCAAAAAGTTCCCTGGGATTCTGTCACCAGGCCCTCAACAATCTACACCCACGAGTGTCAGTCCCACCTTCGGAGAAACATGGGATAATCTCTCTTCCAAGGCAGGGGCCACGCTGTGTTCTGCAAACCCCAGCTTCACATTATCCACCAGGCATATACATCACACCCAGTTCCCGGGAGTCCCCTGCTGGTCCTTGTCGCTGGCACAGTGCTGGTTCCCCCAGGGTCAGAGGCAGCCAGGCTCCTCAGAGCTTTGACAATACCAGGCTACCCCTGGGACAACCTGAGGGACAAGAAAGCAGATGTACACCCACAGTGGATGCTCCCAATCTTGGCTGAAAGAGGCTGGGCAGTCTACTTCCTGCACCTTTACTGACTGATGGCAGGTCTCTAATATGGTGGCACTTAGCTTTGGGGGACCCTCATGCTGTCTGTGGCTCCTAACTTGAAAGGTGACCCTAATACTCTTCCTGACCCAACAAATGGCCTGTTATGTTGGGTCCACACTTCACTTCCCTGGCCTGGTCTTATTGGTGTCCTCTCTTGGCACCTCTGGTGCCTGGCAGAGCAGGTAAGCCTGGTGCCCACTGGAGGAGGGTAGAAACACACGAGATGCCAAGTCCTGTGCGTCTGGGTGTTAAAACCAGCCCAGGTTCTGAGGACCACCCAGGGAGGGCACCCCAGGAATCCACTGCCCAGTTTGCATAGGTCTAGACTTCATGAATCAACGTGGGCTCAGGATTGTGCCTGCAAAAACGTCACCTGCCTAGGACCATGATCCCCAGAAATCTCTCGTGGGCATCTGCGTCCAAGGCTGCCTAGTTCTTCCACACTAGGACGTACAGATGGTCTCCGAGTTTGGACTCTGATCTGGTAACAGGTTCACACTTTGCTCAGGGAACTCCGGGCCATGGACACTAACAAGCACCCACCGAAGTTAAGATGACGCCTCGGAAGGTCTTGTCGTTCTCCAGTTTCTCCAGACTGATGACGAGCTCCGTCAGCAACTCTAGGCTGAGGCTGTTCACTGGGGGGTTCTTGAACTTCATCACAGCAATCCCTAGTGTGAAAGTGAAGAGAAAGCTCATGCCCAGCATTGGAAAAGTGCCCCTGGTTACCCTGCACCCACAACCTGGCCATGGGACGTTACATGGTTTTTAAAAGTTGAGGTCGCCCTAACCGGTTTGGCTCAGTGGATAGAGCGTCGGCCTGCGGACTAAGGGGTCCCAGGTTCGATTCCAGTCGAGGGCATGTACCTTGGTTGCGGGCACATCCCCAGTAGGGAGTGTGCAGGAGGCAGCTGAATTGATGTTTCTCATCGATGTTTCTAATTCTCTATCCCTCTCCCTTCCTCTCTGTAAAAAATCAATAAAATATATTTTAAAAAAAAAGTTGAGGTGATATTTGCATAACATAAATCAACCCTTTAAAAGTGAACAATGCAGGTCCATTAAGTAGATTCACTGTTGTACAATCACTATTGAGTTCCAGAACATTCCCATCACCTAAAAAGGAAATGCTGTACCGACTGGCAGGGCAGTCACCATTCCTCCTGTCCTAGCCCCTTGCCACCACTGATCTACTTTCTGCTGCTGATTTTGCCTACTGTGGACATTTCATATAAACGGAATCACATGTGACCTTTTGTGTTTGGCTTCTTTTCACTTAACATGTTTTTAAGGTTCACCTATGTTGTAACATGTATCAGCGCCTCATTCCTTTTTTTTTTTTTTTTTTTAACAGAGAAGGAGAAACATCAATTGGTTGCCTCCTGTATATGCCCCAATCAGGGATCGAACCCACAACCTGGGTATGTGCCCTGACTGGGAATCAAACTCACGACCCTTCGGTGCATGGGACAACGCTCCAACTGAACCACACGACAGGGAAGCCTCATTCCCTTTCTAGGTCAAATAACATCCCGTTGTACATTGCATTTTGTCTATCCTTTCATGTGCTGATGAGCACTTGGGTTGGTTCCACCTCTTGTCTATTGTGAATGCTTCTGTGAACATTCATGTACAGATTTTCCTTCCACACAAGTCCACTGTCTCCATGGGAGTAGGGAACAGCTTAGTTTCTTGAGGAGTGAGTGAGCCAACTCTGAGAAGTAGATGTGCAAGGAGGAATCCAGTGAGGTACTCTGGTTCTCGCTTGTTTTATTTTATTTTTAAACTTATCTTTATTGTTGAAAGTATTATAGCTGCCCCCCCTTTCCCCCCATTGACCCCTCCCCAGGCCTTCACCACACCTATTGTTTGTGTCCATGGGTTATGCATATACACATATAAGTTCTTGGTTATTCTCTTCCTGCCTCCTCCCCACTTCCCTCTGAGAATCATCAGTCTGTAGCATGCGTCCATGTCTCTGGATCTATTTTGTTTGTCAGTTTATTTTGTTAATTAGATTCCACATATAAATGAGACCATGTGATATTTGTCTTTCTCTGAATGACTTATTTTGCTTAGCATAATCTCCAGGTCCCTCCATGTTATCTCAAAGAATAACATGGAGGCCCCCCCTTTTTGTTTATGCTTATCTAAGATAGACGTGAAAAATATTGGGGGGAGGGGGTGTCGGATGTTCTTCATTCATTCATAATGCCAGCAGCAGGAAAAGCAGGAGGGACAGGGCCTGCCCTTGTGGACAGTGCAGCTGCTAGCCCGGGCCGGCTGGGGCCATCTGTTCTCACTGCTGAGCAAGGGCAGCCCCCAAGGACTTCAGATATGGCACCGTTCATTTAGGGTGCGTTTCCCTGGACCGTCCACACAAACCATTCTGTAAGAGTAAGAACTAAGTCCTAAAGAATCTTTTGAGGCCGTTAATGTGGGGGGAAGAGGTAATTATTACATATAAGAAGCAATCAAAACTTCCAGAAGTGAGCTACCCAAACTTGGTTCAGAAGGAAGTTCCTGAAGGTGACCCTGGAGTTTTGTGGAGCCTGGTGGGGCAGAATTCAGGACACTGGGGGAAAGGTTAAGAGGCCAAAGGTGAACATGAGTTAACAGAGAGAAATTTGGCTGAACTTGGATGAACCAGAGATAAATAACAACACTCCTGGCACAGGGTGATTATTAAAATAAATATTACAAACGAATCTAAGATCAGCTTCAGTAGCAGCACTGAAATAAGACATTTTTAAAGCACTTTTACTGCATTACTTCATCCAAGCCTCAAGGTTCCTGAAAGCTAAGTGGGTCCAGCAGTGAGGACAAAACCAGCTCTGGCTTTCACACCCCAAACTTGACTTTCCAACAAGCCAACACAGCTAGTGAGTTCTGTGGTGGGGTGGGAACACACTTTGGTAAAAAAAATTATCTCAACAATACTTTTTAGAAACAACATAAAATTTACCATTTAAACCATTTTTTAAGTGTACAATCCAGTGGCGTTAAGTATATAGTCACAATGTTGTGCAGCCATGACCGCCATCCATTCCAAAAGTTTAAAATGTGTTGCTGCACTTGTTGTCTGGCTAAGGCCTTACAGCGGGGAGGCCATGGCTCAGCATGTCCTAAAACCCAAAACCTCGCCCACCTCTGCCCCCACGCCTCCTCCGTACCCCGCTCTGCAGTGCCCTGGTGTCTCTCTCAAAGGTGCCTTTTCTACCCCCTTTGGAGAGTGGCCGCGGCATTAGGAGGGATTGCACCTGTGGATCCTGCTTTAATTAGTGCAATATCTGCTGGGTTCTGTGCCACGTGAAAGTATTAAGAAAAATTAAAATATTCCATTCCAAACATACTTCCAATTACTTTCAATTTCCAGTTTAACAGCTTACAGGGGCACAGACCGCAAAACCTGGAGGAGAATACGACAAACTGCACATGGAGCCCGCTGTCAGCACTGCAAGGCGTTACCCCGTGTCGCCATTCCTGCCCCTGGGCGGCGGGCAGGGG